GTGTGGTGTGTGCAGCAAAAAATTTACCCAATCAAATAACCTGCAGAGGCATATGTTGTTTCACAGTGGAGTCAAGCCTTACGCATGCATAGAATGTGGGAAAGCATTTGCAACATCAAATAACCTGCAGGTGCATTTGAAGGTTCACAGTGGAGACAAGCCCTTTGAGTGTACAGAGTGTGGGAAAGCATTTTCACGATCACCTTACTTGAAAGTACACATGAGGTGTCACAGTGGTGACAAGCCTTATGAGTGTAATGAATGTGGGAAAACATTCGCTCAAGCAAGTCATCTTCAGTCCCACCAGAGATGTCACACTGGTGTCAAGCCGTACCAATGTGATGTGTGTGAGAAAGCATTTGCAACATCAAGCCACCTGCAAAGACACATGAGGAGTCACACTGGAGTCAAACCTTATGAATGTACTGTATGTGGAAAAGCATTTACAACATCAAGTCAACTTCATGCACACATGAGTTGTCACACTAGAGCCAAGCCCCATCAGTGTACTGGTTGTGGAAAAAACTTTAAACGTCTAGGTGACATGCAGAAACATATGCGAATTTATTGTGAGGTCCTTGTTGGCAAGACAGAAGTCCTAATTCCTTGAATGTTAAGAAATTGACCTTTCTGTGGTTTATCATGTTTTTTAAGATGCAACAACTTTGAAATGCAACTTTGTGAACGATTGAGCATGTTTGAAACGTGAGTGTGATCATTCGATGATGATAATGAAAAGTTGAAATGTGAATCTGGTATACAGTCAATACCTTGAACATATATTCCAAGTTCTTTTAGTATTATCATGATTATCATGATTATACGACACATTCTAAAAGGTTTACTGACACAAAGATTCTCACCTTAAGTTTACCTTGTTTACAGCTGTTATGATATGCCGCTATGTTTAACCTCGTTCTCTGTGTCCATGTCAACATTGTTCATGTTGTCACAAATTTGAGGACATTATTTAGCCATGTTAGTTTCCTTGTAAAACCTCTGACCTCGTGTACACTTCCAAGCATGTAGCAAATAAATGTTCCTGAATATTGTGAATGATAATTGTGTTTGTGACTCTGTCAGTGTAGGCGTTTGATATTAGCCTGTCCGTCCTTGTGTTTGTAACTTTGCAGTGCGCTTATACTTTTCAAATACAGTGCAGTTGAACATCATCTGGTTTAGACAGAGCTGGATCAACAAAATGAGGTTTTCGCTTTGATTCAGTTTGAAACATTCAAAACGGATGCAACAGAAGTTATCATGGTTATGAATACATTGTTATATTATTTATAAAAATATTGCCATCATGCTAATCTATTTTGATCTAATTAACCTATTGATGTGTTCGGCATATTGCTTGACATTTTTAGTGGATGTTCATAAGATCCTTATGCTTATATTAGGGCTGGGACGAGTCAAAATTTACTACCCGGGTACCCAACCCCCTATTACCCGACCCTACCCGGGTACCCACTTAGGTCTTAAGAGTTGAGAACACAATGTCTAATTGGGAATAGTTTAACTGTTGCCCTGGCAAAAACTGTTTAGATACGTGTATGAAACCAGAGCCCATATAATAGATATATGGTCTCTTATGAAACGATCGATTCATGCGTACACTGAAGTTGACTGAAGCTTTATCTTTACTCAAACATATACAAGTCAAAAGAAATGTGTGCATCATCATAAAGAAATGGGAACATTAGCGACTTGTAGTGTAACCACTGAGCAATAGTGAGTTTTTGTCATTAAACAATATGTCACGTGACTAACCACAGGTCCAGGTAGTACTGTGGGTACCCGGGTCCTACTCAGGACCCACCCGACCCGAGTTACCCATCCCAGCCCTAGCTTATTTGTCATTATCATGATACTAACACTGAAGAAGAGATTTATTTGACATTTTATGTGGTTCAAACAAGATGATGACGTGTTAAAAAAATCTTGGTATATGTTGAAAGAAACATTTATGATGAATATGATTCATGATGATGATAATCATGATGCTCTGTGCAGCTTAGAGTTTAACATGATGAAATTTATATCTTTGATTTGCAGGAAACTGCTGTTGTTAAGTTTATTTTCGTGATTTATATAAACTGTTGTTAATTAAAACATTTCACCTTCATTTAACTTTTCCTATTTCTTGCAACTTGTAATGTTTGAATCTCTTTGACTCCCTTTTGAATAAGAAACATTGTAAGTATATGCTTATACACCTTGTATATTATGATTAATAAATACTTCTTTCAGTTATACAGTATCTTGGTTTTTTTCCTTCCTATTTATTGATGGTGCTATGCAATGCTTTATGAATATAAACATGGTGTCATCAACACTCAAGTATCTCAATTATAATGTGCCTTGATTACTTGTCAAATAGGGGGCATGGGCGGCCCAGTCGTCTAAGGCGCCGCGATTTGCTGTGCAGAGTTGCGTCCCTTGGGCACGCCAGAAACCTATGATTGTGGGTTCGAATCCCGGTTCACCCCGATTATGTTTCAAGGTTTGTCAGCACCATACCGATGCTCGTGGGTTTCACTGAAGTGGTAAACATCTAAGATCTGCATCACTTTGGGCTTTCCTCCCACATTAAGCTGACACGCCGCAATATAACTGTAATACTGTTAAAAGCGGCATTAAACCCAACTCACTCACTCACTCACTCACTCACTCACTCACTCACTTGTCAAATATGAGATGAGCATGAGTGAATATTGTGCCATGCCAGAGAGAGCAATATTCCAGCTGTGTCACAGTCACCTGTAGATAATCAAGTATCGTTACCATTGTGAGATACATTACAAACTACTGGAGTACAATGACATACAATCAACCAAGCAACTAATCCTGAGTATCTCATTGCTGATGATCAATTATGTGACATATCGTATCTCTTGAGAAGCAAAAGAAATACAAAATACTTTCAATTCACTTTTAAGAAGAAGTATATAATGCTGATATGTTGTCATTGCTCTATTCATATACTTTTCATCACTATTTTGCCTATTTTACCCAATACAATCTGTTTCAGCAGATAAACAAGACTTATTTACCCTCTGGTGTTGACGTTTTGAATAATGTCTAACATTTTTAGCCCACTTGTCCTTATGATAACATATAGCAAAACCCTTCAAAACGCCAAATTTCTACTAGTCCTTATGATACCTTAACTATTGGCCAGTTTGGCAAGGACTATAGGACTAGTACAAATTTCTAACGTCGGTCTGATAATAGACAAAATTTGGGAGGTAAGATATTTTTTGGGGAAAAGTCTTGAAACTAAATGAACATAATTGGAGGACAAAGCCATAATGAATTATAAGAAATTAAGAATCAAAAGGGAGAAGTGCCTTTATTTTATATTATAGTTGTAATTCAAACTCATATTTCATTTGGATATTGGTTCCTTGATAGATTAAATAATGTCAAAATGTATTGTTCATTTATTTAGGTCCTTTGCTGTAATTTATGTTCTCCAAGTACATGGGAGAAATTTGTGTTACATTGTAAGCATCACACACGGATACAGGGACAGCTGTCAACGACAAATGACAAATTAGAACATTAACATTATGTACAATCAGTCACGGACCATCTTCAACCTACCCTTTTTTCTTCATCAGTTTTAGTAAAGTTTACACTTCGATAGAATTTGGAAGGAAGGATTATCTTCATGGTAATTAGTTAACTTAGGTGAATGGTGCCAGATCCATGCTTGGTTTCCTCACAGTCATATTGGTGTGGTGAGTGCAGTGTGAACCATTATATTTCATCTGAAAGCCTTCTTTATCAAATGAGGTTATACAATACATCAATCTTTGATGCCATAAAATAAGAACATTTCACTTAGATTATACTCCTTACATTAATCAGACCACATTCATCAGTCAGGGTGGCCTCTTTGGGATGTGGATATTCAATTCCTACTGCAGGACCCAGTTTTTCGCGTGCATAAACACATTTTCCTTACTTGTTTTCACTTTGGCTCACATTGGATGTAGCTGGTAAGCAAAAGGGCATTAGCACAATTGTTTTCTTATACATGTGGTACACAGGTTTTGAGATAAGTTTTGGCACATGAATATAAAACATCAATGCCAGAGAATAGACAGTCTTGATTAACTGGGGGCGGTACGGTAGCCTAGTGGTTAAAGCGTTCGCTTGTCACGACGAAGTCCCGGGGTCGATTCCCCACATGGGTATAATGTGTGAAGCCCATTTTCGTGCGTCCCCAGTCGTGACATTTCTGGAATATTGCTAAAAGTGGCGTTAAACTATACTCACTTGCTCACTTGATTAACCGCTGAAACAGATTCCATTGGGCTTTAAAGGTAAAATAGCTGTGAAAAGTATATGAATAGATAACTGAAGATCACTGATGACATCAGGGCCCCGTTCCTCAAAGTGATCTTAGCGCTACGATGATCGTAAGCCTATGCTAAAGTATGGGACTTACGACCACCTTAGTGCTAAGATCGCTTTGAGGAACGGGGCCCAGGTGTTAGGGCAGGACATGCTTAGCCACTTCACTATCAGTAGCAGTTAGGGCAAAAGCTGCATTTGTGGGATAGCTTTGCGAATTTTGGATACCCCTGTAGTAATGAAAACTGCATTGTTGGATGATATAGAACTAATGGCTAGGGTCATAACAGAAAATGATACTGTTTTTTCTTTTGCCCATGGGAGGAAGAAAGAAAATGTTGGAAATATTTTCCTAAGTTTTTCCAAAGTGGAAAGCGCATAATCGAGGCTCAATATTGGAATGTAAACATCTCCATGTTAATGACTCCCTTTTTCTTGCTTGATTTCAGGACTATTTTTTTAAGTGTGTTAGGGGTATCATTTAGGTCACAAATGGCAGTGACCATAAAGTATGATCTTGTTCATGTCGTCGGTGTAATTATATAATGTTCAGGCTACCCAGTAGCCAGCTGATGGTAGTAATCGTGCTATGCTGTTACATATTTAACTAATCTGATTCTGAATTTTCTTTACAGTCTTTACCTGGGGTTTCCATCTATGGTGATCTTGTGAAACATCTCCAGAACTGGGAAAGAAAGGTGACATCTCTTCAAAGTTTCAGATATCATCGCGTCTTATCATGGAAACACAAGGCGACTCACAGACAAGTAAATCTGTCACAATACATGGTACTGAAAGTCGTCACAAGGACGAAATGAAGAGTGAGGATGAAAACCAATCCAGTGCGTGTAATGTCTGTGGGCAGGTAGAATGTAACCTGCTGTTACACATGATGTGTTACAAGGGTGTAAAGCCTTTCAAGTGTACTGAGTGTGACGAAGCATTTTCACTATCAGGCGACCTGCAGGAACACATGAGATGCCATGATGTGGCCAAACCTTACGAAAGTAACGCGTGTGAGGAAGGGTTTTCGCTATCAGGAAGCATGGAGACCCATGTGAGTTCTCATGAAGACGTCAAGCCATATGAGTGTGGTGAGTGTGACGGAGCATTTTCTGAACGGAGTGAGCTGCAGACACACATGAGTTGTCATGGTGATGTCAAGCCATATGAGTGTAGGGAGTGTCAGGAAGTATTTCCACTCCCATGTGACCTGCGGGATCACATGAGATGTCACGGAGAGGCCAAGCCGTATGAGTGTGGTTTGTGTAGTAAAACATTTGCAGAATCAGCCTACTTGAAAAGGCATATGAAGTGTCACACTGGAATCAAGCCATTTGAGTGTGGTTTGTGCAGCAAAACATTTACCCAGTCAAATAACCTGCAGAGGCATATGTTGTTTCACAGTGGAGTCAAGCCTTACGCATGCATTGAATGTGGGAAAGCATTTGCAACATCAAATAACCTGCAGGTGCATTTGAAGGTTCACAGTGGAGACAAGCCCTTTGAGTGTACAGAGTGTGGGAAAGCATTTTCACGATCACCTTACTTGAAAGTACACATGAGGTGTCACAGTGGTGACAAGCCTTATGAGTGTAATGAATGTGGGAAAACATTCGCTCAAGCAAGTCATCTTCAGTCCCACCAGAGATGTCACACTGGTGTCAAGCCGTACCAATGTGATGTGTGTGAGAAAGCATTTGTAACATCAAGCCACCTGCAAAGACACATGAGAAGTCACACTGGAGTCAAACCTTATGAATGTACTGTATGTGGAAAAGCATTTACAACATCAAGTCAACTTCATGCACACATGAGTTGTCACACTAGAGCCAAGCCCCATCAGTGTACTGGTTGTGGGAAAAACTTTAAACGTCTAGGTGACATGCAGAAACATATGCGTATTTATTGTGAGGTCCTTGTCGGCAAGACAGAAGTCCTAATTCCTTGAATCTTGACAAGTTGACCTTTCTGTGGTTTATGTTTTACAAGATGCAACTATACACTTAACTATGAAATGCAAATTTGTGAACGATTGTTGAGGTTTATAACTAATGTGTGTGAACATTGTGAAAAATTGATGAAAAAGATATAGCTGCTGTACTGTCAATACCTTAAAAGGTGCATATTCCATTTATCACAATTATATGACACATTCAGAACAAGTTGAGTGTCACAAAGATGCTTATCTTCAGGTTCACATGTTTATGATATGTATGTTTAGTATGGGGCGGTCGGGTAGCCTAGTGGTTAAAGCGTTCGCTCGCCACGCCAAAGACCTGGGTTCGATTCCCAACATGGGTACAATGTGTGAAGCCCATTTCTGGTGTCCCTGCTGTGATATTGATGGAATATTGCTAAAAGCGACATAAAACCATACTCACTCACTCACTCACTCTGTTCTGTATGCCTATTTTCATGTTCATGTTATTTGTCACATACATGTATTCAAGAACATGTGAAACCTCTTATAATTACCTCATGTCCACAATTGTGTGGCAACTAATATTTCAACAATACACTTTTCTGTCAGTGTAGGCGTTGGTTATTAGTCTGTGTCCGTCCTTGTGTCGTGTCAGTGTGCTTATACCCTTCTACCACAGTGCAGATAAATATCACATGTCCAGTATAGAGTGGCTCAACAAAGTGAGATCACCATAATGATTCAGTTTGAAAAATTCAAAATAGATACAGCAGAAGTTACATGTTATGGGACATAACATCTTCCCGAGGCAAGAGAGTTAACTGACTTTAAAAGTCCAGTTTCCACCCTTGCCGAACTAGGCTGGAATTACTGGGCTCGATCGTAGCGCCATCAGTGGCTATTACCAGTCATGCCACTTCTAAGCCTCTCCTATGAACCAGTCATATTCCACCTCTCGTATTACTTGCGTTCGCTTCACACAAAATGGTGGGACCCAGTGAGGGCGATCTGATCGATAATCAAGATCTATATTGTGATAAAACGGGTCTTATATCACGAAATGCATAAAATTACGTGAGCACCTCAACTAAAAACATGAAAAGATTGGCAAAATATCTGCAGACAACGAGTTGGCGCTGCACATGTTTTGCAAATCCTGCAATCGACCAAAATCTGCATGACAATTTACGAACCGGATTTCAATTTCGGTGCGCGATTTTGATTGGACTATGCATAGACTCGTTAGTCCAGCCAAAATGTAACTCAATAATCCCAGCCTAGTTCAGCAAGGGTGGAAAGTGGTCTTTTATAGTCAGTTAACACTCTTGCCAGGGGAAGATGGGGACATAAGAATACAGCCTTCATCTGATTTGTGCCAGCATCATATGGCTGTGCTGGGAATTTATGCAATCAGGAAGCGATTTGATTTGATTTACGATTTGTACTAGTTTTTAGTATGATAATAAAATCCTTGAGCATATGTACATATTGAATGTAACTTTTGTGATGAACATGAGGAATATGATCATCGTGATGATCTGTGTAGTGGACAGTTTAATATGATGAAGTTTATGGCTTTCATTTGTGTGTAAATACTGTTGTGAACTTGTGTTCATGATTGACCCAATCTGTCACTTTATAGAACATTTTCCCTTTGATAGATATTTGTTATTTCTTTCAACTGGAGTGACTGAATCTTGTTAACCATTTTGAATATATCAATTTTTAGATATATGTTGATACACCTTGTATATTATCATGATTATGATAAATAAATACTACATTCAAGTTCGGAATGTCTGTTTTTTGTACTTTACAATGCTTTTATTGTCAAAATTATGAATCGTTTTTTAAGCAAAGTATGGAGTACACAAGAAAAACATGTTTCGGTGATTACACTTTACCTGTTCTGAATCATGTAATATTGCTGACTGGCAGAGGACAATATGAATTCACTCACTGAATGAAAATTGTGCAGAATGATTCAACCATTTTTTAATTGAAACAAAATATATGCAGATATATTCAGACATGTGTAACACATGGCATGGATTGCTGATATAGCAATATAACATTTAATTCCGAGTGATTCACTTTTGGCGAATTCAATCAACTTTTATTGTATCTGGCAAAATGGAACATGTTCATCTAACTACCCTTATTGAAAATGGCCTTCTTTATAAGTCTCTTATGTAGACTCCAGCTTAAACTGACAAGGCAATAATGCATGCATGTGCTTGAGTGTCTGGCATATAAGATATAATGCAACCTTGCTGGAACTATCATGGTGTGATGATAACAGGACTTGGTGCTGTGTTCGATGTGCGTTTATCTGGCCCCAAATTGCACGCTTGGATTGTTGGCTTGACATTTTGGATCCTGTCTTGGCCATTCGCCAATTGCACATCTTTATTTTCGGAAGCTGATGCTCAAGCCATTGTACAAAATCCGGGTATACTTACCGACTGCAACTACTATAGAAACCATTGGTTCAGTTGCCTTCTCCGAATGTGCGTTCTAAATCGGAGTCAGTTTGTGGTGTACCTGGATGTACAAACTCATCTGGTATTGACAAAGCATCGTGACTTTTCGAATATATTACACTTGGATATACAAGGACAAGCCTTTAGCTTCCATCCCGCAATTTGGAACAGTTCTTAAAGGATCCCTATCAGGCACACGTTGATCTTTGTGGTGTGACACTTTTCTTGGCTTTGTACATACACTCATTAAATGCTGCTGCTGTCACAAGTGATCTAGGACATTGCGATTTAAAGACACTCATCATGGTATTCCAACCAATATTTATTGTCATTTAAATTGTAAGTTTTGAAATACATTTGCAAAAATAATGCTATATATATATAATAAATCAATATGTCCCAATTTATTTTTGTTTAGTCTTCGAGTTGGGAGTGTCTACGAATTCCCAATGGCTACGAATTAGTTTGGTTACGAATTCACCTTCAGCCTGTTGTTCAGATTCAATCGACAGAGATGATACAAGGAACAAAGGTCATCATTCTGAGGAATGTTAACACCAAGACATCTCAGAAGTTCGCCCCAACCCTTCCACGTCTTGTCCATTTGGTGATGTTTGGGTCTACAGTTTCAGATGTTGGTTGGTTCTAGAGTGTGATTGCCTGAAGGTGAATATCGCTTGGCGACCACAACAACCAGCATTGTGATGATGGAGACAACCAACTGCTGAATTTGAAATAAATGATGCCAACAAGTTATGGCGTATGAAATCGACTGAAGGATGTGCGAGCTGATAGTGACACATGTAACGAATTTATATGTTGACAAGATTTAGAATGACTTTAGCTGAAATATGTTTGTGACAATGTGAGGTCCGCTTTGGACCATCAGTGGGTCATGTATGGTAACTCAAAATGTGAGGGGGCACGGGTGGCCCAGTCGTCTAAGGCGCCGCGATTCGCTGTGCAGAGTCGGGTCCCTTGGGCACGCCAGAAACCTATGATTGTGGGTTCGAATCCCGGTTCGCCCCGATTATGTTTCTAGGTTTGTCAGCACCATACCCGTGCTCGTGGGTTTCACCGAAGTGGTAAACGTCCGAGACCTGCACCACTTCAGGCTTTCCTCCCACATTAAGCTGACACGCCGTGATATAACTGGAATACTGTCAAAAGCGGCGTTAAACCCAACTCACTCACTCACTCAAAACGTGAATCGACCGACCGATGGTTTTTCGCAAGACGGTGACTGGCCATCCATATATATCCTTTCAAATGAGTATCAAGGTAGACAAACATATGGTTCATGAAAGCTTTTATTATACAAAACATTTCTCCTATTTTCATCTAATTCCATATGGAATACATCCACCTACATTTGCCTATTTGCCTAATTTTCTTGATTAATTGTGATTAAATTAACTGCAGACATTCCGCAGTCATATTGCGTGACTATCACCAAGTAAACGTCTCGAAATATGTGTAGTTGGGCGTAAATTTTGGAGTCTAGTATTGTACTTTCAAAGATATTAAAGCAGGATCAATGTGCTTTCTTTTCTTTCGGGCAAGTGAAAATATAATCAATTTGGTCCCATATATATATCCCTCAAATAGCATATGGCCACTTAAAAAATAAGATCAAACAGTAGAATCTTTTGTTTTTGGGCTGTCACAATTTGCAGTTCTAACCTTGTTGACACGTGTTCCCCTCCATGCTACCATATATCTCTTTGTATTTGGCTAGAAAAAATGTCTCGCCCGGCTGGTTAGTGCTGATGAACAAGTATTTCACATACTGAGCAGGATACTTCATCTTCAGCGTGGTCTCCATCCTTGATACATCACGCGTGTCTTGTGACCTCTATGTGAAACACAAGGTGTAAAGTTGACGTGTACAGCATGGTTGGTTGGTTTATTGTTTAACGCCGCACTCAGCAATATTCCAGCTATATGACGGCGGTCTGTAAATAATCGAGTCTGGACCAGACAATCCAGCAGCGTTAGAAATTGGCACTAAAAAAAAACAGTACTCACGGAAATGAAAAAAACCCTGTTTTTTCGACCTCAGATCTTAAATAAATGCAGTTAATATACAAAATATGTAAATATTCAAACAACTAAATTAGTACTAATTGGGCCGTGGCACAAATACAGCGTATCAAATGTTTTTATGCCTTTTTACACGTAAACGTGTGTAAAAATGTGAATAAAACAGACTATTGTGAAACAGGGCATAACCAGGTGTAAGTAGATCAAGGTGACCTATGACACCTTGACAGGTGAGAACATGTGCATAATGCCTATAGTCTGTTTCTGCTATGTCAATTTGGACTTAGTTATATTTTTGAATGTTGAAAGTTCCGACAAATTACCTCCTGTAAAGTACATTTTGTATTGTTCACTGAGATCAAACTAGCAAATCCAGACTAGTACTTTTCGAGTTGTTTTGTTATTTCGTATTTACAGCTACGTAACACTTTGTGTCGAGTTTTAAATTGAGAAAAACAGGTTTTTTTCATTTCCGTGAGTACTCTTTTTAAGGATTTTGCTATATGTTATCATTATAAGGACTAGTGGACGAAAACTGTTAGTTTCTAACCCTGTCCAGTGATTGATATCATGAGCATCGCTCCACGCAATTGGGGTCGATGTCATGCATCAACCAAGTCAGCGAGCTTGACCACCCGTTGACCCCGTTTGTCGCCTCTTACGACAAGCATAGTCGCCTTTTACGGCAAGCATAGTCGCCTTTTACGGCAAGCATAGTCGCCTTTTACGGCAAGCATGGGTTGCTGAAGACCCCGGATCTTCACGGGTCTTCACTTTGCTCAGAACTGACCGTTTCAAACGAGAGTAAAAGCATTGCTGCTGTCATTGGTTGTTGGGCCCTAGTTAATGAGGTGACCCATGTCTGAACAAGGAGCACAGACTGAGCAGTGGTGTCAATGGCTCACTTTACATAACAGTTATACATTGGGAAGAACATGTCAACTTCTTTATTATGAGGAACACAACGTTTCGGAGTAAATGCTGACTCCTTCATCAGGTGAATGCATGCTATGATCCAGAGAGCATATATACGTACATATAAGAACAACAAAAGTAATGAGATAACAAAAGGTGGAAACTTAACAAGGGAAGTCAACAGATAATTGGCGCTGATAGGTGATTAGCAATAGACACTGCTATACATTGGCCTTTCAAGAGTGAGTTGTGTCCCACGCCGATGTGAACAGTATTTAAAGGGCAAGTTCACACGGAAATGAACCTATTTTTCTTGTACTTTTTCCACATTAAAAGTGTTAACCTAGAAGTGTCATAGACAAAAATATAAAAATATCACAATTAATTAACATATTTTTCGCATTAAAACGATTTATATTTTTCACATTTACCAAGTGTTCTATTTCCACAACAAAAACACCATGGCTTATGCCCCTTG